CTCGATTATTTACAGACCGCCGTCATATAGCTGGAATATTGCTGAGTGCGGCGTTAAGCAAACAAACAAACAAACATTAACAGATAAGTTGCCTCAGAAGTTTTCGACAATGGCCACTGGTGGTTTTTTGGTTGGTTACGTTAAGCTGTACATGCCATGAGTACATAACTGGTAAATAACTGTCTGTAACCTGCGCTCAGTTTGTGTGTGATGAAGAATATCATCAAAAGATTCAGTCATGGACGGAGATGTCTCTATGTATAAGATCCCAGTTGACGTTAATGGCAACAGTTGATGTTCACGTCAATACCTTGATTTGAAAACCGTGACGATCCGGGTTTGAATTAGTTTTCAGCAACCACGATGCTCATCGTAAGCGGCGACTAACGGGATCGCTGACATGATTGATGTCATCGTATCCAATTTTGGTAGATCGATACTCATGATATTAATCACTTGATTGTCTGGTCCAGACTCGATTATTTACAGACCGCCGTCATATAGCTGGAATATTGCTGAGTGCGGCGTTAAGCAAACAAACAAACAAACAAACAAACGAACAAACAAACATTAACAGATAAGTTGCCTCAGAAGTTTTCGACAATGGCCACTGGTGGTTTTTTGGTTGGTTACGTTAAGCTGTACATGCCATGAGTACATAACTGGTAAATAACTGTCTGTAACCTGCGCTCAGTTTGTGTGTGATGAAGAATATCATCAAAAGATTCAGTCATGGACGGAGATGTCTCTATGTATAAGATCCCAGTTGACGTTAATGGCAACAGTTGATGTTCACGTCAATACCTTGATTTGAAAACCGTGACGATCCGGGTTTGAATTAGTTTTCAGCAACCACGATGCTCATCGTAAGCGGCGACTAACGGGATCGCTGACATGATTGATGTCATCGTATCCAATTTTGGTCGATCGATACTCATGATATTAATCACTTGATTGTCTGGTCCAGACTCGATTATTTACAGACCGCCGTCATATAGCTGGAATATTGCTGAGTGCGGCGTTAAGCAAACAAACAAACAAACAAACAAACGAACAAACAAACATTAACAGATAAGTTGCCTCAGAAGTTTTCGACAATGGCCACTGGTGGTTTTTTGGTTGGTTACGTTAAGCTGTACATGCCATGAGTACATAACTGGTAAATAACTGTCTGTAACCTGCGCTCAGTTTGTGTGTGATGAAGAATATCATCAAAAGATTCAGTCATGGACGGAGATGTCTCTATGTATAAGATCCCAGTTGACGTTAATGGCAACAGTTGATTTTCACGTCAATACCTTGATTTGAAAACCGTGACGATCCGGGTTTGAATTAGTTTTCAGCAACCACGATGCTCATCGTAAGCGGCGACTAACGGGATCGCTGACATGATTGATGTCATCGTATCCAATTTTGGTAGATCGATAATCATGATATTAATCACTTGATTGTCTGGTCCAGACTCGATTATTTACAGACCGCCGTCATATAGCTGGAATATTGCTGAGTGCGGCGTTAAGCAAACAAACAAACAAACATTAACAGATAAGTTGCCTCAGAAGTTTTCGACAATGGCCACTGGTGGTTTTTTGGTTGGTTACGTTAAGCTGTACATGCCATGAGTACATAACTGGTAAATAACTGTCTGTAACCTGCGCTCAGTTTGTGTGTGATGAAGAATATCATCAAAAGATTCAGTCATGGACGGAGATGTCTCTATGTATAAGATCCCAGTTGACGTTAATGGCAACAGTTGATGTTCACGTCAATACCTTGATTTGAAAACCGTGACGATCCGGGTTTGAATTAGTTTTCAGCAACCACGATGCTCATCGTAAGCGGCGACTAACGGGATCGCTGACATGATTGATGTCATCGTATCCAATTTTGGTCGATCGATACTCATGATATTAATCACTTGATTGTCTGGTCCAGACTCGATTATTTACAGACCGCCGTCATATAGCTGGAATATTGCTGAGTGCGGCGTTAAGCAAACAAACAAACAAACAAACAAACGAACAAACAAACATTAACAGATAAGTTGCCTCAGAAGTTTTCGACAATGGCCACTGGTGGTTTTTTGGTTGGTTACGTTAAGCTGTACATGCCATGAGTACATAACTGGTAAATAACTGTCTGTAACCTGCGCTCAGTTTGTGTGTGATGAAGAATATCATCAAAAGATTCAGTCATGGACGGAGATGTCTCTATGTATAAGATCCCAGTTGACGTTAATGGCAACAGTTGATGTTCACGTCAATACCTTGATTTGAAAACCGTGACGATCCGGGTTTGAATTAGTTTTCAGCAACCACGATGCTCATCGTAAGCGGCGACTAACGGGATCGCTGACATGATTGATGTCATCGTATCCAATTTTGGTCGATCGATACTCATGATATTAATCACTTGATTGTCTGGTCCAGACTCGATTATTTACAGACCGCCGTCATATAGCTGGAATATTGCTGAGTGCGGCGTTAAGCAAACAAACAAACAAACAAACAAACGAACAAACAAACATTAACAGATAAGTTGCCTCAGAAGTTTTCGACAATGGCCACTGGTGGTTTTTTGGTTGGTTACGTTAAGCTGTACATGCCATGAGTACATAACTGGTAAATAACTGTCTGTAACCTGCGCTCAGTTTGTGTGTGATGAAGAATATCATCAAAAGATTCAGTCATGGACGGAGATGTCTCTATGTATAAGATCCCAGTTGACGTTAATGGCAACAGTTGATTTTCACGTCAATACCTTGATTTGAAAACCGTGACGATCCGGGTTTGAATTAGTTTTCAGCAACCACGATGCTCATCGTAAGCGGCGACTAACGGGATCGCTGACATGATTGATGTCATCGTATCCAATTTTGGTAGATCGATAATCATGATATTAATCACTTGATTGTCTGGTCCAGACTCGATTATTTACAGACCGCCGTCATATAGCTGGAATATTGCTGAGTGCGGCGTTAAGCAAACAAACAAACAAACATTAACAGATAAGTTGCCTCAGAAGTTTTCGACAATGGCCACTGGTGGTTTTTTGGTTGGTTACGTTAAGCTGTACATGCCATGAGTACATAACTGCTAAATAACTGTCTGTAACCTGCGCTCAGTTTGTGTGTGATGAAGAATATCATCAATAGATTCAGTCATGGACGGAGATGTCTCTATGTATAAGATCCCAGTTGACGTTAATGGCAACAGTTGATGTTCACGTCAATACCTTGATTTGAAAACCGTGACGATCCGGGTTTGAATTAGTTTTCAGCAACCACGATGCTCATCGTAAGCGGCGACTAACGGGATCGCTGACATGATTGATGTCATCGTATCCAATTTTGGTAGATCGATACTCATGATATTAATCACTTGATTGTCTGGTCCAGACTCGATTATTTACAGACCGCCGTCATATAGCTTGAATATTGCTGAGTGCGGCGTTAAGCAAAAAAACCAACCAAATAAACAAACAAACAAACAAACATAAACAGATAAGTGGCCAAGAAGTTTTCGACAATGGCCACTGGTGTTTTTTTGGTTGGTTACGTTAAGCTGTACATGCCATGAGTGTTACATGCATCAACCAAGTCAGACCGACCGATCCTCAGTTTTAACCCGAACCATCACGGGGTCAGTGATAAACTAAAATACTGTAAAACGGCCTTAAACCAACTCATTCTCTCACTATAAACTAAATTATAAGGGAGTCCAACTGATGGTGGTGTTTTTTATTACCGTCGCATGCACATTTCCCTCTAGTCGAAAGAATAAAATTATTTTTTTAATCCTGAGTTATCGGCCGCGTCTGTATTTGTATCCCGCTTCTTGAAAAAAACGTTTCAAGTTTGATTTGAAAACCACGGTCGAATGTATGAATGACAGTTGGCGTTCTTAGAGAGAACTGTTGAAACTTGGAATGGAAGCAGCTCTTTGCTACTTATATTTCTGTGTTGCGATATAGGATTCTCTTCCACTTTTAGCAACCCATGCTTGCCGTTAAAGGCGGCTATGCTTGGCAATAATGTGTTTAAATTTCAGATCAACTTGCCCTGATAAGTCGACCAGATATATTTTTAAAAATTGTATAATATTTGATATACATCGTCAAAGCATTTGAAATAGTACGTTAGCACTTTGGTTTCACATTTGGTTTTGCCCACCTTGAACGGTATTCTGCAATAAAGAACATTCTAATCGTTTTCCTTTTTTCTTTTTTTTCCGTCCGACCGCCCGCCCCCTCTGGGAAGCCCTTGGGGATGAGAAACACAAAAATAAGTAAGGACACCCTGAAGGCACTTCGGCCATTTTCAGTGCTCAGACCAAAAATTACCCCTGTTACTATTATACATTGAACGGTATTTTGCAATAAGGAACATTCTATTCGTTTTCCTTTTTTCTTTTCACGACCGCCCGCCCGCCCCCTCTGGGAAGCCATTGGTGATGAGAAACACAAAAATAAGCAAGGGCACTGTGATGGCACTTCCGCCATTTTCAGTGCTCAGACCAAAGATTACCCCTGTTATTATTGAGATATCTTTAGTGGAACTTGTATTCATCACCCATTGATAGCAAGACACAGTTCGTATTATCTCTTCTGGTAAACATGCTATGAAAGTTAGGATATGGAATATTTTCATCTTGAACGAGGTAATTTAAGAAACATTAAGAAACCATATACATCTTTCTAAGACATTGATGCACAGTATGCCATTACGCAAATTAGAACACAGCTAAGGCAACAAAACGACGAGTTTTGCAACTTAAGACAACGAGTCCACGCGAACGTCTTGAATCGGTTTTTGGAGCAAGGGAGGTAACTCTAAAATATGCACATCGGTCCGCGACAACATGAAGTCGAGCAACACGAGATCGATTCCAGTATTGTTTTCATTTAAATTTGAAAGCAGTATAAAGCTTATTCTTAAAAAAGGAACAACTCACTTTCTGTTGAAATGTTAACACAACAACTGATGACGTATTTTGCAATCGTTCAACAAAAGCCACGAAGGTCGTTCTTATCGCTGGAACTAGCAGCTGTGGCGTGATTCATTCCATTGATAAGTCTTTTCAGATTGTCGTCACAGAGGGAAAGGACGTAAACATGATTCTGCTGTTGGTTCTATGTTTGTGTGGGGTCACAATCGACGGTAAGGTTTATATTTCAAATTGTGAACAAAATCAAAATTATTATTAAATTGCATTTGTTTGGCATTTGTGGTGCACTTATATGATGCGTTTTGAGCCACAGTTTTTGCCTGGTGAAACGTACTTCACAGCTGCTCAGATCTGTTCAGATTAATTAACCTTTTAATAAAGAAGAATAGCACATGGGACATGCATGGACCAGCGTGTTAGTGTATAAAACGGTGAGTTGTAATACGGATTAACACAAGATGAAAAATATTGGACATTTTGGATCAGGTCATGAACAGATCAATCTACTTGTATGTCAATCGACGTTTATTATCTAGATGAATAACATATACACTAGAACAAGGGACCGGTGAAACCAGTTCGTTATATACATTTTCGGAAACGTCTGAAAGATGAGATCTGATTAGTGATCGTGATAAAATACTGTGAAGAGGTTTACATTTCTCAGTAGGGGAAATAAATCTCTTATACACCGCCACGAGCAATACAGGCTTCACGTGGATTTCTCAGAGGCAGAATAAATCCCTTATACCCCGCTTTGAAGCAAAACGCCGCACCTTTTTCCGAGTCAATGGAATCACGTGACATAGCACAAGTTAACCTCAGCTCAACATCTGTAGTCTATCAATTTTGAAATTGTGTTAATTCTTTTACAATGCCACACTAAAACATGTCGCCAAGATAAATTCGTTGCATCAGAATCACGAGGGGTACATGCGTCCTTCGTTAGGTTTAATACCACTCGCCTCCGGCCTCAGGCTTGTGGTATAAAACCGAACGCGGGACGCGTAAAACGCCATGTACCCCTCGTGATCCTTCTACAACGAACTTATGTTACCCATAATTGTTATATGATCCATATATGACTCTAACAGTTAAATTGTTGATGCAATGTCTTGTGACCTCCAAACTGGATTACTGCAATGCATTGTATGCTAATCTTCCCATGAAAGCCATATCAAAGCAACACGCATTCAGAACTCTGCGGCTGGATGCATCTCTAAAGTTCCAAGATCCAATCACATCAGTCCTGTCCTCAAAGCACTACACTGGCTTCCAGTCTCCTTTCGTATAAACTATAAGATATGTATCATCACTCACGACTGCCTCAACAATAGCGACTATCCAGACTATCTCAAAGATCTTATATCTCTGTACACTCCAGAGCGTGCTCTCCGATCCTCTGGTGGAACTCTACTGTATCAGCCTCTGTCTACTTCTGCTATGTCTGACCGTGCCTTCTCCTTTTGCAGTCCACAGTTATAGAACGCTTTGCCTTTGAATCTGAGAAACTCTGCTTCTAAGGAAACATTAAGTCTCTCCTCAAAACCCACTTCTTCACCTCAGCTTTTCAATAGATCTCCTGATTGTTGGCATATGTACATAGACATTACTTTTTAACCTTGTCTCAGCGCCAGTGAGCAACTGTCGATGGATATTAGGCGCTTTACAATTATTATTATTATATATTGTCCACAGATAACCTTTTGGCAAGGCTTATCGCCTGTAGGACACACGCAGATGTTGACCATGTGACAGAAAGCAGGCATAAGCAATGGTACCAAAGCAATGAACATGTTCCAAAACGTTACCTGTAGACAACATGGATCCTATAACAATTATATATATATGCTTATTCCGGCATGGTGTCATATAGTCAACATCTACGTGTCTCCGCCAGGCGATAAGCCTTGCCATGACCTTCAGTATATCTGAATGTCAGTTCCTGGAAGATATAACAGCACTTGTGTTAACCTGTTTGGTAGTCAGAGCGAGATGACCTAAAATAGATGTACTTCTCTTTGCAATGCTTTTATTATTTTTAGATATTGTCAGCTGTTTGTTTGAAATCCTGCCGTTTTGGTTTGTTTGCTGTTTAACGCCACACTCAGTACTCATCCAGCCATATGCCGGTGGTCTGTAAATAAGCGAATCTGGACAAGATAACGCCACACTCAGCAATATTTCACCCATAGGACCGCGGCCAGACAATCCAGTGATCCATACTGTGAGTAACGACCCACACCGCCGGGGTACGACGACGCCAAAGTCACCGACCATGACCACCAAATCCACTGGGTCGCCTCGCACGACCATATTGGAAGCCGTTTTCACATCATCACGGAATTACTGATATCTTCAATTGTTTTAAAGATATCGGTTTTCTATATAAAGATATCAAAAATGTTTCTAAGATATAAATTCCTTTCTGATATCCAAAATACAATTACTGATATCTTAAAATGTTACTGTGATATGAACACTATATTTCGTGATATGTCTTCATGTATTTAAGATATCATTGAACAATTACCATCCTACTGTACATAATCATATTAGAAATAAATTCAAGATATCTTAAACTAAATTCAAGATATCTACATATACATATCTACATGTGCATTAAAGATGTTATTAAGTCGTTTTATATATCTTTAATTCAATTAGAGATATCCTTTATTCAATTCAAGACATAATTAATTCTGACCGTTACTGATATAAAAAATCAGATATAAAGACATCATTAATCATTTTGAAGAAATCTTAATATCAATTATTGATATCTGTAATATAATTTAAGTAACATGAACGAACGGCAAAAGATTTGTTCTGGTCTCCAAAAGTGCGGGAAATTTACAGATATCCTCATTTACTTCCGGTCTGGCTACATATCCGTAAATTCTTCCGGTTCCAAAATGGTGCAGGAACTCGTCTAAACAGCACGTCAAACAATTCGCGGAGGAGTTGAGGGGACTGACTATGACAGCAGTGATCAATTTGAAAACATGGTCTCCGCCATAGTTAGAAACGTTACCCAGCACTAAAAATGTCCGAAGTTCCTTCTGGGTGTCCTTACTTATTTTTGTGTTTCTCATCTCCAAGGGCTTCCCAAAGGGCGTGGGCGGGCGGACGGACGGAAAAAAAAGGGAAACGATTAGAATGTTCTTTATTGCAGAATACCGTTCAAGGTGGGCAAAACCAAATGTGAAACCAAAGTGCTAACGTACTATTTCAATTGCTTTGACGATGTATATCAAATATTATACAATGTTTAAAAATATATGTGGTCGACTAATCAGAGCAAGTTGATCTGAAATTTAAACACATTATGGCCAAGCATAGCCGCCTTTAACGACAGCGGCAGTATTTAAAGATATCTATAAATAAGCGGAAGTCTTTAATAATGGCAATTATTGAAGATATCAATAATTAATTATTGACATGTGCATTTAGTTTCATAACAGATATCATAACAGTTACTGATATCATAACAAAACATGACTTTTTGATAACTTTAAATCATATTTTGATATCATCAATCGATCTTAAGATATCAGCAATCACTTTCAAGATATCAGTAATAAGCTTCCCCATGTCTTCTAACCTGAACACGTGTCTTGTGAAGTGTTACGTTATTATTTCCAAATTGAAACGGAACACAGAAATCGGTTCGCACAGAATTAAATTGTGAAATCAGTAAAACACCACACAAGACCAAAGAATTATCAGAATAATAAAGAATACCGTATTTGATGTAATAAGCGCCCAGGGCGCTCTCAAAATTAGAAATAGGGGGCTCTTATTAGAATATTATTTTAGTGAAAACAAACGAGTTAAAAGATAAACTTTGTGGTTTATGCTGACAGCCTGAAATGTTTATGTACGACAGATATATTTTTCCAGAATTTAATTGCCCATAATTAAGTGTGCATATAACACATGGGTGCGTATTATACGCGAATAAATAAGTCTTGTATACATTGATCAATCGGAAGGGGTGCTAATTAGGATTGTTCACTGGCCAATATATTAGCAAATATCGCCGTGGGCGCGTATAAGAGCGGGGCGCTTTTTACGTCGAATACGGTAAGTATATTTAAACGGTGTCTAGCCGGGAGAGCCACATTTCAGAAATGGCTATTGCCGGTAGAGCCACATGTTCAGCTGAGTGCATTTCACCTTTTCTAGCGGGTAATTACTTGATCCGATTACCGTTACCTTTAAATGAGTGTCCCACATTTAAATTATTAAGCGTGGTGTTCTTTAGAGATACCTTTAAATGAGTGTCCCACATTTAAATTATTAAGCGTGGTGTTCTTTAGAGATACCTTTAAATGAGTGTCCCACATTAGTTGGACTTTGAACGTGCAGCTCACAATGCCGTGACTGATGTATTTCCTGGGACATTAGTTAGAGGGTGTTTCTTTCACTTCACCCAATGTATCTGGAGGAGGGTGCAGAAAGAAGGTCTGGTGATGGACTATAAGGAAGATGAGGAGGTGAAGAAGCTGGTGAGAAGAGCTGCTGCCCTCCCTCTGCTACCTCGTGACAAAGTGGATGATGTGTGGCTTGATGCCATTGCTGACTCTCCTGCTGGCCCTAAAGTGACTGCCTTCATGGACTACGTGACAACCAGTTGGGTTCAAGGAGGGACCCCTTCATGCCAGAGATTTGGAACCATTTCGAAAACCAAGGCCACCGTACCAACAATCACCTTGAAGTGTGGCACAACAAGATAAAGAAACTTGCCAAGAAGTGCCACCCGAACATCTAGGAGATAGTGAAGCTATTTCAGCGAGAGCAGTCACTCAAAGAGGTTGCAGTCCTGAGACTCTCTCACCAGTGGTCAGAACCTTCACGAAGAAAGAAGTACAAGGCAATCGATGCACGTATTGCGTCCCTCAAGATCCAGCTCCTGAACCAACACCTGAGTGAGATGGAATATGCTGACCACGTGGGCGACCTCCTTCATCTGCAGTAATGACATTAAATCCATTATGATATTCATATGCTATTCATATTCATCAATGTAAAGTTTTGATGAATATGTTATCCTTGTTGAATAAAAAATGAGAAAACAAGACTTGTTTTGTTATATACGGTAACCTGTTAGAATCACAAAGCATGTTTTGACAGCATAGCCGCGAGAGCCACATTATACAATCACGCAACCATAACCATTGCCGCGAGAGCCACATCAATTTGGGCTATCTATTTTCGAAATGTGGCTTTGCCGGCCTGTAACCATTTAAACACACCGTTTTAGTTTAACAATCAAAACGACAAAACAATGTGTCAAATGAGTGGTAACAGCAACATGTAACAGGCCCTACAATTAATTTGTATGTTCAGAATGTTCAGAATTTTATCACTGTCGAATGTGTGGAAACAGCCCTGCCTCCGTTCTTGAATCCATATTAGTGTAAGAGCCTGGCAGAAAGTCGCTGATTCCAAGTAGATAAGAAACAAGTCAGGTAGAAAAGTCCTCGAGTCGCCTTCTTGTCGCTCTTAAAAGGGTAACCTATATGTCCTGCGAAAATGTTCAGGCCCGTGAAGATCCGGGGTAGAATAGGTCTTCAGCAACCCATGCTTGTCGTAAAAGGCGACTATGCTTGTCGTAAAAGGCGACTAATGGGATCGGGTGGTCAGGCTCGCTGACTTGGTTGATGCATGTCATCGTATCCCAATTGTGTGGATCGAGGCCCATGATGTCAATCACTGGATTGTCTGGTCCAGACTCGATTATTTACAGACCGCCGAAAAAAAGGTGGAATATTGCCGAGTGCGGCGTTAAACAGCAAACCAACCAAAATCGTGTTTACAACAAGGGGCAGATAACTCTAATTCTAGTACAAACCCTTCCTGGAATGCTCCACTCGCCTCTGTTGATTGCTGTTCAAATCCGGCCACGCCAGCTCTTGGTATAGTTTTCTACATAGGCGGGACAAGAGGGTCCAAAAGTTCAATATTTTACCTTCACAAACATATCCCAACAGTTTCTACTGCCACATAACACTGTCCATTGTTTTTTAAGTGCTTTTGTAACAATTTCTTTAAAGTGACAATGTCCCGTAAAGTTTGTATGTTTGGTCGCCGTGTAGGGGGAAATATTGCAACTATTTAGTTTCAATGGGTTCAACAGCCGTTGTGGGATGTCTACATCTGGTATGTACAACATAACTTTCATCCCCTGTTCTGTCCATACTGTTCGGACGGGTCAGGTGTCAAGTCTGGGTTTTCTCTTCTGTCACTACTAGTACACGTACATCTATCAAAAACAAAACTTCATATTCACATACTCATATCAACACGTATTATGATCCAAAAGAAGATAAGCATTAGTTTTCCAAAACTGTTTGCATATTTATAAGGAAACAATTATATTGTTTAACGGCAGCGTTGTATATGTATGTTAAATTAGACGCAAGACAGTGTTCAGTTCATCTTCGTACACCGATATCACGTTTCGTTCATTTGTTTGAATTTAAGACGCTCGAATGGAGTCTTTCTAACACACACTGGTTATTGGTAGTCTTTGCGTTGCGTTATTTTTACGATCCCTGCGCGAGTCTATTTTAGCCAATAACCATATTGGGATTTCCCTCTTGTTAACGCCGGTTAACACATGATGCACATTTTGGGATTTAGTTTCCATAATAGAACTAAACACATCGGAAATCTGTTATCGCACCTACCCTCAACAGAGAAAAAAAATTATTACAACAAGCGTGGGTGCTAAATGGTTATTAATTGTATTGTGTTCCTTGTTTGCGTCTCAGCGTTCCTCATAACCTCATCCAAACCCTCTGAGGTGTGCTACGGGGACCTGGGTTGTTTCAGTAACGCCGCGCCCTTCAAGAGCAGCAAGCGACCCAGCAGCTTCCTCCCCAAATCTCCCCAGGAGATCAAGACCAGCTTCCTCCTGTACACACGGTAAGTGCGCAGCAGCAGCAGCAGCAGCAGCAGTAGTAGTAGTAGTAGTAGTAGTGAGCGGAAGTGAAATTGGGTGTAACGTCCCTTCAAGATTATCGTACTTTTTGCGACATGCATGCACGCGTGTCCAGACTATTGCTGGTATTTTAGGGCTAGCCTTGAGATACCATGTCGCAGTTTACCATGGATGCCATAGTCGGACACGGTACACTGACTCCGAGCCGACCAGTCCTTGTTAAAACGAATGCCGACAACACCACACATAACCACCTTTTAATGTATTTGGGTATGACGCGGCCGGGTATCGGACTACCAACTTTTTGTTCTCCTTGCAGTAACCGCAACTGCACATGTAGTTGGAAAGACAATTGCAAATAATAATCACAACACCAGTACTAGTAACAGGTCTCCATTTTGTAAATATCAACAACTGCAGTAAACATACACTAATACTGGCAGTATTTGTTGCAATGGGAGTAATATTAGTACTTAGCAGCGACGGTAACAGTAGCAGTAATAGTGGTAGTTTGTTTGTAGTTTAACGCCGCACTCAGCCATATTCCAGCTATGTGACGGCGGACTGTAAATAATCGAGTATGGACCAGGCAATCCAGTAATTCATATCACGAGCATCGTTCCACGCCTCTAACAATAAGCGTAATCCCCATTTATGACAAGCATGGGTTGCTGAAGACCTATTCTAACCCGGATCTTCACGGGTCAATTGTAGTAGTAGTAGTAGTAGTAGTAGTAGTTGGTAGTAGTAGTAGTAGTAGTAGTAGTAGTAGTAGTAGTAGTAGTAGTAGTAGTAGTAATAGTAGTTGTAGTAGTAGTACCGGTACTAGACGTAGCAAGAACATCCAAAAGTAACTATAAGACTTCAATCGACGCAAGCCGTGAAGTTGTGTAATTGCTAGAAGCGGACGTACAATACCTTTGAAGAAACAGTTTTACCGGTTTGACGTATCCGACAGGTTGCAGTGAATTAATTCCAAGTAAAATGACGTGAAGCGGCTTGTCTGGAAGTGAGGAGGGCGGGGTTGAAGTCTATTATCATGGCCTTACGGTAACATGTGTTTCCACAGTGCCAATCCCGCATCAGACAAAGAGGAGACGCTGTCAGTGTCGGATCCCGCCAGCTTCTCCAAGTCTCACTATGACCCCACTCACCCCACCAAGTTCATCGTCCACGGCTTCACACACAACGGACACAAACAGTGGATTCAGAACATGAAGACAGAACTACTGAAAAGTGTAAGTCTGATATAGGAAGAAAACATATTGGATCACATGTTAGACTATATACTGAGGGGCAAAAGACAGTATACCAAGTTAAAATCTTTAAATCAAATTAAATTTGAATATATATTTATATTTCATATTTTAAAATAAAAGTATTAGAAGTATTCTTTGAGTGCTGACTAAGGGCAAGCACAGTTCATTTATTGGATATGATATCGCTAACTTAAGATATTTTCAACTGAAAATTAAACATATGATAAAATCAACTGAGAGGTTCAGTTTCTTGTGCTCCTCTGTTTAATATAATTTCGTAGGATTCTCATAACTCTTCATAAGTCGAATAGCTGGTTTGATGATCCTGTTATATGAGGCGTTATATCCGTTAATTCACGTAGCAGCATTCGTGACCAATTCGAGTTATTCCGGTACAAGCCCCTCTCGTGGCCATTTTTGCGACTGGGTTCCGTCTAAGCGCAAACGGGCGTAGCTAAACGAAGTGTCAACTCGTTGCGTTAAGATTCACGCATAATTCCCCCATACATATATGTTCCAGATGCTTTTGAACACATATTATACAGTATGCTATTTTTAAATGCAAGACATCATATGTAAAATCTAAAATTGTTCCTGAAGGATTCTTTGACCGAAGTACTTGAAGTCATACGAGAATTCTGATTGGCTTGTTGTATTTTCACATATAACATTCATTGATGGGGGGGGGGGGGGGGGGTAACGATTCTTACGGAAAGGGGCGAGTGGTGACGAATGACGTGTTGGACAACATTCACAATTCGTACGTTGACGGCGTTGATTGATGTTCATTCTGTCAATCATTAATTTGGCTTGTCAATGTCACATACAGGTGGGGGCACGGGTGGCCCAGTCGTCTTAGGCGCCGCGATTCGCTGTGCAGAGTTGCGTCCCTTGGGCACGCCAGAAACCTATGATTGTGGGTTCGAATCCCGGTTCGCCCCGATTATGTTTCTAGGTTTGTCAGCACCATACCCGTGCTTGTGGGTTTCACCGAAGTGGTAAACGTCTGAGACCTGCATCACTTCGGGCTTTCCTCCCACATTAAGCTGACACGCCGCGATATGACTGGAATACTGTTAAAAGCGGCGTTAAACCCAACTCACTCACTCACATACATGTCGTCATATAGCTTATGGATCATTCAGTTAGCTGTGGCGTTTAAAACGTGGCTCTGACGACACTGGCATTAAGTCTTCCGGGTCTTTCTTCTCCAATATCTAAGGCGGAAATGAACGTGATCATTGTGGACTGGGGGATTGGGGCAGCACTGCCCTATGGTCAAGCTTCGGCCAACACCCGTCTCGTCGGCGCCCAGGTCGGCCAACTCATGAACTACATCCTCAACAACACCAACAGCGAACCCATACGCTTCCACATCATCGGACACAGCCTGGGGGCGCACGTGGCTGGTTATGCTGGGGAGATAGTCAAGGATCTGGGAAGAATCTCAGGTGAGTGAGTGAGTGGTATGGATGAGTGAGTGGGTGGGCGAGCGAGCGAGTGAGTGAGTGAGTGAGTGAGTAGGAAATGATAATGATAAATACCCTGCACTCATTCGCCACCATGCTTATGTTTCAAGTACGTTTGGAACGACACGACGCTAAAAGTAGACATTCAATGAAAGTGCATTACTCGCTTTCAAGTTCAAAACCCTGGAGGACCCGGTGAACGCGTTGAGCAACGAACGTCCGAAGTAAACCTTAATTAACTGATTGACGTCATATTTCGGTTTACCAGCGTTGTCCATACCTGTTGAACCTTTGTGGTATTTTTCTTGTTAGAGTCCCCACTTAACGTCATCGCTAAGCTAATTAGTTGTTTTGACTGATTCAATCATAAATTAAATGTTTTCATTATTATAATTAACTATATATATACAGGTATTCTGATATGCGCCAGGGAAAAGTATCTTTTGACGCTTGATCTAAATACTTCAGTATCAATAAGGCAGTTTTTATATTGATTTACTGTCTCTGGTGGGTAGCCTAGTGGTTATAGAATTCGCTCGTCACGCGGAAGATCAGGGTTCGATTCCCCACATGGGTACAATGTGTGAAGTCCAATTCTGGTGTCCCCCGCCGTGATGTTGCTGGAAAATTATTAAAAGCGCTCGCTAACTCACTCACCCTAATACAACCGGAACGTCCCAGTCTTAGTACTCAAGAAAAACATCTTTGCCAATTAAAAGTTATTTTATAACAGTCTTTAATATTTACCTCGATTAAATATGTCGAGTGTTCGATTGGACAAAGCAACGATTTTGAATTTAGATCTATGCCGACCTCGCGTAAAGAAGAGGCATTTTGATTGGTTGTTCATTTCAAGTTCAAGAGCGAGAGAAATCCTGGTGACGTCACTCTAAAACGAGGCTATGGTGACACTTGAGAATCAAACAGAGCCTAGCCATAAGAAGTAGCAGATATTTTTGAAAACAGTACAATTGCCCTTTTCTAGGGAGTTCGAACCCCGTCCGTTTCTTCAACCGAAAACAGCAACCGCGGGACTAACACATCTTCATCAAGCAGCAAGGCACTGCTTAAATATCACATTAACATCGTTGTTGGTTCTGTAGGCCTTGATCCAGCCGAGCCGTTCTTCGAGGACACGCCACCGCAGGTTCGCCTTGACCCAACTGACGCCTCCTTTGTCGACGTGATCCACACCGACGACGGCACGATCCTGTCCCTAGGCATGGGCGCTAAGCAGGCTATGGGTCATGTGGACTTCTACATCAATGGTGGATCTGTTCAACCCGGATGCGATACGAACGTCCTGTCCAAACTCACCCACACTGTCTGGAATGGTATCACGTTGGGTTATTATGGTAAGAGGAGGAAGTGGGGGATGTAAGGAGTCTGAACGTTTGTATGCAACTACGGTATTTACTGTAAATCAGTGAAGGTTAAATATATTCTTTTTACAACTTGGCAAAATATTAATATTATACGATATTTAGTGGTTTTCAGAGGTGTCGCAAGTTTTTATGTTCAAGCATCACTCGGCTGCACTCAATTCAATAGATTGCAATGGCAGGAATTCATAATAGACAAAGTGTTTCCGCTTGCTTTTGTCTACAAATAAAAGTGTATACCTTTCAAATCAAAGGGTATATCACAGAATATCTTCCAAAAACGTCAGTCATTTTATAGGAACTATATGCGGAGAGATCTGGCGCTACACGGTTCACAGTGAATCCATGCAAAATCACTACTCCACTGCTTCTCGAGGCATTATGTTGGTAGCGGCGTAAAACCATACTCGCTCACTGGTTCACTGCAGGTTTGATGTATACGGTGTTTGCAACACAGGTGCTGAAGCTGCCGTCGCCTGCAGCCACGAGAGGTCCTACGCCCTCTACACCGAGAGCATCAACTCAGGCTGTCCGTTCATGGGGTTCCCTTGCACCGGCGCGGATGACTTCAACAGAGGCCGTTGTCTCTCGTGTCTTGGCAACCAGTGTTCCAATATGGGTTACCATGCCGACGCAAGCCCGGGGCGCGGATCTCTGTTCCTCAACACACAAGCTTCTTCCCCATTTTGCAGTGAGTTACCTCCCCTGTTTCATCAAACGTCCTTGAACTAGAAGAGCGTCTGGTATTTTATATATTTCCGCGTGTTAACTTCACGTTATATAACCGTTTTGGTTGACCCTAGTCCTGCACCATGACCGTGGAATATATTTATTTTATGAAAAAATAATAATCTAGAAATGCATACAAAAGCAAGTCTAGCCAGCTCAAGCTAGCTCTATTCCACAGCATAGGGATTTTTTAAATTTTTTTAGAGTCAAGAAGGATATTGTGTAATATAAGATTTCAGAGACTAAATGTTAGTCTAGGTTGACCCGTACATATCAACATGATATGACTGGTAACTATGGTAACTTGTTGTTCTCTCAGGAAACACTATCATCCAGGGATAACGGTAGTTAGGATTGGGTGAATGTTGCAACACGTCGCCGTCGGCATTATTCCAGCTATATCATGTCGGACTGTATTTTATCCAGCCTCGACCCAGTTCCACAAATCGGTTTTAGTATATGTTAAAGTATGCAATTTAAGATCGTCTCAGTTATTTATAAGATAGCTTTGTGCAGCGGGGCCCGGGCCAGGCAAACGAGCAGTCGATGTAATGAACAACGCTTTAGGTCGTGCCCCGGTGCTTTCAGTCACACATCGAACTGGTGTAGGATCGATGATGATGATGATGATGATGATTATTATGATTATTATCATTTGAGTCCGTCACTCAAGACCCGTGAAGATCCGGGGTAGAATAGGTCTTCAGCAACCCATGCATGCCGTAAAAGGCGACTATGCTTGTCGTAAGAGGCCACTAACGGGGTCGGGTGGTCAGGCTCGCTGACTTGGTTGAAGCATGTCATCGATCCGAATTGCGTGGATCGAAGCTTATGATATTAATCGCTGGATTGTCTGGTCCAGACTCGATTATTTACAGACCGCCGTCATATAGCTGGAAAATTGCTGAGTGCGACGTTAAACAACAAACCAACCAACCAACCGTCGCTCAAATATTGGTGAATTGGGCGTAAAACAAATACCCATTCAAGTCACTCACATACATTTTTTGCAATAAAAAAGGTTTAGGTATTCGAATACAACCATGATGACTGTCATAACATTTTGCCGAGTAGTTAGTGATACATATTATATAATATACATAAAACACGAAGCACGACCAGCATCATACACCTGAGTGAGTGAGTGAGCGGGACCCAGGAGTTATACTCATGTGGGGTATCGAACCCGGACCTTCGACGTGACGATCGAAGGCTTTAAGGGCGAGACTACACCACCGCCCTGACCTACACATTCCGGGTTAGAATTGTTCCATAGCAACCTATGCTGGTTGCAAGATGGCGTGTCAACGTGCCCCGACGGCATGGATCGTTACTTGGTTGATGGCGTGTCAACGTGCCCCGAAGGCATGGATCGTTACTTGGTTGATGGCGTGTCAACGTGCCCCGACAGCGTGGATGGTTACATTGTTGATGGCGTGTCAACGTGCCCCGGCGGCGTGGATCGTTACTTGGTTGATGGCGTGTCAACGTCCCCCGACGGCGTGGATCGTTACTTGGTTAATGGCGTGTCAACGTGCCCCGGCGGCATGGCTCGTTACTTGGTTGATGGCGTGTCAACGTGCCCTTAAGGCGTGGATCGTTACTTGGTTAATGGCGTGTCAACGTCCCCCGACGGCGTGGATCGTTACTTGGTTAATGGCGTGTCAACGTGCCCCGGCGGCATGGCTCGTTACTTGGTTGATGGCGTGTCAACGTGCCCTTAAGGCGTGGATCGTTACTTGGTTAATGGCGTGTCAACGTGCCCCGACGGCGTGGATCGTTACTTGGTTAATGGCGTGTCAACGTGCCCCGACGGCGTGGATCGTTACTTGGTTGATGGCGTGTCAACGTGCCCTTAAGGCGTGGATCGTTACGTGGTTGATGGCGTGTCAACGTGCCCCGACGGCGTGGATCGTTACTTGGTTGATGGCGTGTCAACGTGCCCCGACGGCATGGATCGTTACTTGGTTAATGGCGTGTCAACGTCCCCCGACGGCGTGGATCGTTACTTGGTTCATGGCGTGTCAACGTCCCCCGACGGCGTGGATCGTTACTTGGTTCATGGCGTGTCAACGTCCCCCGACGGCGTGGATCGTTACTTGGTTCATGGCGTGTCAACGTGCCCCGACGGCATGGATCGTTACTTGGTTGATGGCGTGTCAACGTGCCCCGACGGCGTGGATCGTTACGTGGTTGATGGCGTGTCAACGTGCCCCGACGGCGTGGATCGTTACGTGGTTAATGGCGTGTTAACGTCCCCCGACGGCATGGATCGTTACTTGGTTGATGGCGTGTCAACGTGCCCCGACGGCATGGATCGTTACTTGGTTGATGGCGTGTCAACGTGCCCCGACGGCGTGGATCGTTACTTGGTTGATGGCGTGTCAACGTGCCCCGACGGCGTGGATCGTTACTTGGTTGATGGCGTGTCAACGTACCCTGACGGCATGGATCGTTACTTGGTTAATGGCGTGTCAACGTGCCCCGGCGGCATGGATCGTTACTTGGTTGATGGCGTGTCAACGTGCCCCGACGGCGTGGATCGTTACTTGGTTGATGGCGTGTCAACGTCCCCTGACGGCATGGATCGTTACTTGGTTGATGGCGTGTCAACGTGCCCCGACGGCGTGGATCGTTACTTGGTTGATGGCGTGTCAACGTGCCCCGACGGCGTGGATCGTTACTTGGTTAATGGCGTGTCAACGTGCCCCGACGGCGTGGATCGTTACTTGGTTGATGGCGTGTCAACGTGCCCCGAAGGCATGGATGGTTACATTGTTGATGGCGTGTCAACGTACCCCGACGGCGTGGATCGTTACTTGGTTGATGGCGTGTCAACGTGCCCCGACGGCGTGGATCGTTACTTGGTTGATGGCGTGTCAACGTGCCCCGACGGCGTGGATCGTTACTTGGTTGATGGCGTGTCAACGTGCCCCGAAGGCATGGATGGTTACATTGTTGATGGCGTGTCAACGTGCCCCGACGGCGTGGATCGTTACTTGGTTGATGGCGTGTCAACGTCCCCCGACGGCGTGGATGGTTACTCGCTATATCAATCATTGGACTCGATTATTTACAGGCCGCCGTTGTATAGTTGGAATATTGCTGAGTGCGGCATTTAACAACACACAGACAGGCAGACAGACACACACGACCAAACACATGCTAAACGAAAACGAGATCCAGACATTACAGTTATTTAATTCTTATCGACCACGTAGAAAGCTCAGGCAACTATCTAAAATATATCGGCTCTGACATTGGACATTATTAGGGACATACTCGCCTGTAGTACTACTGTGTATAATCTTCTTGTCAATGAGTTCTCTCCCTTGGGCTATGTCTACGAACAAAATATCGTGATTCCCCACGGGAAACTTAGGGGAATTACAAGCTATACGCCCTTAATCGACTGTATTTAGTGAATGAAAGACGGTTATGAAAGGGACAATTGTCTGCGCAGTGCTCGACTCCAGGAATTATCATATATATGAGGTTACGAAACGACTGCCTTCGGGGGCCTGCCCTTGAACAAAATCTAATTACCAACCTTATTCGAACAACACGTATTAACAAGGACGAGGCACAAGATCAGTTAGACTGATTGATCATGTACATGTATGTTATGTTCCTTTAATCCATAGCCCAGATGCGTTTTTAGGGTAATCTAGACTTACTAATGTTCTTTACCCGTTACCTTGCTGATGGCGTGATAACCTAACATCTTGTATGGATCTTGAACGCTTGCCGCCTTGGACTAACATGCAAGAGAAGGAAGCTATGAACGTTATGTGTTCAATGTAGACAATATGATAGGTAGAGTGGTTGGGTACTCTCAAAGGACTGTAGACAACATCGCGAATTTCAGAGCATTATATGTGGTTGTGGTCAATTTGGAACCCCGCCTTTTCTTTTGATGTTTTTATCTCCAAGTTAGATGATGTTAGCTTTTAAATTCCTGAACGTTTTTACATGTATTTTTAAAGTACAAAGGTGAGTTGGTATGGGGTTTAACGTCGTTCAGGAATGGTGCGCCTATATATAACGAGGTGTGTGTGTGTGTGTGTGTGTGTGTGTGTGTGTGTGTGTGTGTGTCTCTGTGTGTGTGTGTGTGTGTGTGTGTGTGTGCGTGTGTGTGCTTGTACTAGGCAGGACTGATGTCAATTTTATAGCGCTAGCCCACTGAGATACCATGCTGCAGTTCAACATGAATACCCCACTCAGACGCAGTATACTGACTCCGAGCCGAACAGTACTTGTTTTAGCATCTTAATACCGAGCGCCAGGCAGGGTAACAACAAATACGTATAAGTATAAATGGTACCACTGTTGTAAAATAAACGGATACTGAATCAAAACATGTGCACACTCTTAACATGTAAATTTGTTCTCGAAAATTAATTTTAAAGTATTGATATGAGGCCAGCTGTACGAGGGGACGATTTAATCACAATTCCAAGCTTCCTCGGGTATTTATACAAATTAACCTACCAGTTGTTGCAGGCTTCCCCGGGTATTTATAAATGAACCAGCTGTTTGTTGCAGGCTTCCTCGGGTATTTATACAAATGAAGAACCTGTTTGTTGCAGGCTTCCTCGGGTATTTATACAAATGAACCAACTGTTTGTTGCAGGCTTCCTCGTGTATTTATACAAATGAACCTACTGTTTGTTGCCAGGCTACCACTACATGGTCAATATCTCCTCCGACAACGAGATGGACGGCATCGTCAAGGTGACATTGCACGGAACAGGTGGCGACACGTCCGTCATTCCCCTCATGAAGTATGATCATATCCTGTCACAGTGTCTGTAACTCTACTTCTCAAACACAATGGACGCCTAACATTTCATGCAAACTCTTTATTGGGGTGACTGTTTTCCATTGGGGCACGGGTAGCCCAGTCGTCTAAGGCGCCACAAAGGTTTGTGCAGAGTTGCGTCCCTTGGGCACCCCAGAAACCTATCATCGCGGGTTCGAATCTCGGCTCGTCATGATTATGTTTCTAGGTTTGTCAGCCCCATACCCGTGAGGGCACAGGTGGCCCGGTCGACTAAGGCGCCGCAATTCGCTGTTTAGAGTTGCGTGCTTAGGCGTGCCAGTAACCTATTATCATGGGTTCGAATCCCGGTTCGTCCTGATTATGTTTCTATGTTTGTCAGCATCCTACCTGTGCTTGTGGGTTTCGCCGAAGTGGAAACAGACTTTCCTCCCACATCAAGCTTGCATGCCGTGATATAACTGAAATACTGCTGAAAGCGGCGTTTAACAAAACTCACCTGTAATCATGGCCAGGTGAACATACACATGAGCATTGATGAAGCAGCATCCAATTTTTCGGATATGTACCATTTAAAAAAAATGTGATTCATTGTTGGGAACACGACAAAAGAGAAGTTAACTGACAAACAGAACACCTGGTACCACCATCACACAAATAATGAAGCTGACACTAGCTGTTGCTACCGTTTTATTGGCGTTATGCGAAGACGTCTAAAAACGCTCATTTCAACAACGCTGAAAAGTATCACAACCCAGGCAACATTACGAATCGGACTGTCACATTATGCAGTCAAGACGATGATTGTCATGATAGGAATCACCACTGACCCTGCAATCAGTATCCATCTTCCCGAGGCAAGGGAGTTAACTGACCATAAAAGTCCAGTTTCCACCCTTGCCGAACAAGGCTGGAACTCCTGGGCTCGATCGTAGCGCCACCAGTGGCTATTACCAGTTATGTCCCTTCTAAGCCTCTCCCATGGACTAATCAGATTCCACCTCTGTTTCCACTTGCATTTGCTTCAAACATAATGGCGGTGCCCAGTCAGGACGATCTGATCGATAATCAAGATCTATATTGTGATAAACGGGTCTTACATCGCGAAATGCATCAAACTATTCATAGACCCGTTAGTCCAGCCAAAATTTAACTCCATAATACAAGCCTAGTTCGGCAAGGGTGGAAACTGGATTTTTATAGTCAGTTAACGCCCTTGACTCGGGAAGATGTCATATCTGGAGTATCCAACCCTCTCACAGATGACATTAGCTAGGCGTCTCTTCATGCCGCTGATCAGAACTGCTGAACTTCGGGATCCTCTGTTATTCTTTGTAAAGGTCTGGCTCAGTTCATTCAGGTCTTGAGCTGGAGGGTCTCTTGCTCTCACATGGGGACAGAACATTTATACAACATGCTGACAAGTTAGGGTTCCATTGTTTGTCATTATTTTTCGGAAGTGGATTTTGAATCAGGTGATGCTTTATTAATGCTCATGTGTATAGTACGCCTACTGGAACTCACAGCAACAAACTAATCCTCAGGTCTAACGAAGTTGTCAACTCAGGTAAGGTTGTCACACACCTGGTCAGCGCCCACCAGTCCATTGGCAACATCACTGGTATCACCGTCAGCTACGACAAAACCTCCAGCTTCCTGGTCGGGTGGATGTACCCGGATGACTGGAAGCTGATGGGCATCTCCGTCCTAGAAGGGGAAACACAGCAGACGTGAGTGCGCATGCGCATATAATAAGCGGCCATTTTGGATCGAATAACTATCTTATCTTCGTGGTTTGAAATAGCAGACACGTCGCAATCTGAGTTTTGTTGTTTAACAATGGTTAAACAATTAACAAAATATAAACCCTATATGTGAAATACAACCAAACAGCTGGCATATCTGATTCACTCATTTTAAACTTTAAAAAGGTTAGGGATCTATCATTGTTATCAGGTATACTTTACCGTATGATAGAAATACTATTAGTCATACAACAACACATCAATGAACACAACACTATTAAAACCATCGCGGGAATCGAACCTGCAATTTTTCTAGGCTCCATTTTCTTAACATGGTTTTAAAAACGTTTAGATTATTCGTTTAATACGCAGGTTTTTGTCGTAAACATGTTCAAATTCGAGACATTTGAAAATTCTAAACATGTTTAGATTATGGAAGATGTTGGGTTCAGGTAGTGTTTAGACTGTGAGATGATAGCTCATTTCATATCGTTAGACCCTATACATGGTTAGATTGAACACACCAAATGTGAGTTCCGTTTATGATTTAAACACGTCCCTAAACATGTTGACATCTAAACATGTCGTGTGTGTTTTTATTCTGAACATAATTTGTACAGTCTAAAGGGTCTACCGTAAGCCTATTTTAGCAAGAATGTACTTCAAATAAAAACAGTTTGAGTTATATGATTACAAAAAAATATCAATATGATACGTTTGGCATTTAGCATACTTGAAAGGAAACATAGCACCTATAATCTATAAGGTTCTCAGTCGCGAGATTAGACCTCTAGAATCTGCCTTTCCTCTCTGCCTCCAGCGGCTTTATTGAAAATGTCAATTTGAGACATTAGACAGCTATAGTTCTCCACATAAAAAAGATAATCTTTTATTGATCAGTGATGGGTAAAAGGGTGTTTTATACCTTGTTCCAAAGTTCATTTGAACTTACAAACATTTAAAAAATAATTAATCAATATTTAACATGATGTTTCAATTCAATGTAAAAGAACAACTCACGGTATTAGTCATTCTGGCAGATAACGAATCATACGAGTGACAACGAGTATTTCACATGCGTCCATCTTATATCATCCTCGGTTATCAGGGGTGTAATATCTATCATGATAGATACTCTAGATCCGTTCACTGCCAGAGCCTCGTTTTGGAAATGACGTCATCCCCCTACCCTTCTCATCAATAACTTTCCCCACATGTTCGCATTTAAGGGAATGGCTGGGTTTTTTTCAACGTCGCGTTAATACTAAACTATGGTCGCAACTCGTTCAAGGGTATTTAATATAATAGAATGATAACAGACGAGATGAACCAGGATCTTGCATATGAAGGCTTATTTACCAATGAATATCTTATTCTTTGGGCATGGGGGTACTGATATGCTTGAAACTAATGAAAACCGGGTTCGATTCCACCTGAGGTAATTTTTTCAGAAATTCGATGGTCATCAATCCTTAATCGTGACATTACTGCGATATTGCTATGTGTTACTGTGTATTACTAAAAGGTTACTACGATAAAATGTCACTGTGATATTACTCCGATATTACTATATCACTATATGAATATTATGTGATATTCTTGAAATGTTATATCACTGCAATAAGACTATAATAATACTGGGATATTACTGAAATATTGCTATTATATCACTGCGATATAATTATAATTATCGCTGCGATATTACAGTGATAATAGTATTAAAATATTACGACGATATCACTGCGATTTTACTTTTATCTCTGCGATATTACTTGGTAATATTGAAATATTACTATATCACGGGTTGCATGAAATAGTGATACAGTCCTATTTTTTCAAAAAGGAAGGGAATAAATTTGAGAAGGTAAACATTCAGATATCGGTGATTTATTATAGGGGGGGGGGGGGGGGGGGGGACCATGAAAAAATGTTTCAGAAAATGGGGGATGGCGTCAGTCAAATATGATACAGTCCTAAGATGAAACTCACCACCACCCCCATCCCCACCCCCAAGCCCAGCATCGATCTCACCATTCCACCCCTTTCATGGCTGTATTATTTTATGGCTGAATACACTGTTAGAGGTTTTCGACATGGTCTTGAAGTATGAGGGGTTACTCATAGTCAGCTAAAAAAAGACCGAGACATGTCATGTGGGGGGGGGGGGGGGGGTCATCCAGAACTATGACAAGAATTAAATTATGGGAGGGTATACGTAATTGGTTTCAGTACAGAAGTGTATAAAAAAACCTGACCCACAACCGTAATATATGACCACTGAGTCAACATTTTCCTCTATTGAGTTCAGGTTGTCATATTACGGGTTTAGAAAAAGTCTTACATGTGTTTTCAAATTTAACGAATAGGCGTTAACCTGACGTGTAAAAGGACAAATTTTCCTTATTTTGTTATGTCGTAAACATGATATACAATAAGAACAAGTAATCAACACGCCACACCGAAGTAAAGATTTCTCACGACGCCGGTGAAAGCGATAGTTTGATCAATGACATGTTATGTTGATACGCGGAACTTAAAAACACCCCGAGTTTTCCCTGTGTTTAAGCGGAAATAGATCCTGTTGGGGTTCCCGAGTATAACACGCCTTCCTTAACACGTTCACGTTATCGGTGTTAGGTCACCTTTTACTTTCGTGCAACTTTATTGTGTTGTCGTTAACAAAAACATTTCTTTTTTACCCAGAACGTCATTTTGTGCCTACGGCAAGGACGTAATGTCCCACTCTCACTCCGACTTCAAGGTCACTGGTCACTGCTCCTAAGTTGACGGGCTGGAGACGGAATCTGGATAATCTTGTAAATAAATTAAAGAACTATGCGTGTCTCTATGTTGTCATCATTAATTACTATGATGCTACTTTTTGTTTCCCTACCTGGCGGTCGTTCTGGCTGCGACATGTACACCATCGTGTTTCGACCTGCAAATCAATGGTTTATAACATGAACAACTCTCCGGGTGGGGTACGATAAAAAAAATGTGGTCAGATGACCACGCTGGGTATTATATAAAACCTGTCAGATCACACACTTTAACCACGTGGAATACGATAAAGAAGGAGTCATATCACACTGTAACCACGTGGAATACGATAAAAGAGGAGTCAGATCACACTGTAACCACGCTTTGTATGATAAAGAAGGAGTCAGGTCACACTGTAACCACGTGGAATACGATAAAAGAGGAGTCAGATCACACACTGTAACCACGCTGTGTATGATAAAGAAGGAGTCAGGTCACACACTGTAACCATGCTGGGTATTATATAGAACCTGTCAGATCACACACTTTAACCACGTGGAATACGATAAAGAAGGAGTCATATCACACTGTAACCACGCTGTGTATGATAAAGAAGGAGTCAGGTCACACTGTAACCACATGGAATACGATAAAAGAGGAGTCAGATCACACACTGTAACCACGTTGGGTACGATAAAGAAGGAGTTATGTCACACACTGTAACCACGTGGAATACGATAAAAGAGGAGTCAGATCACACACTGTAACCACGCTGTGTATGATAAAGAAGGAGTCAGGTCACACACTGTAACCATGCTGGGTATTATATAGAACCTGTCAGATCACACACTTTAACCACGTGGCATACGACAAAGAAGGGGTCAGGTCACACACTGTAACCACGTTGGGTACGATAAAGAAGGAGTTATGTCACACACTGTAACCACGTGGAATACGACAAAGAAGGGGTCAGGTCACACACTGTAACCATGCTGGGTATTATATGGAACCTGTCAGATCACACACTGTAACCAAGTGGGATAGGATATAGAAGGAGTCAGGTCACACACTGTAACCACGTGGGATAGGATATAGAAGGAGTCAGGTCAAACACTGTAACCACTTGGGGTGTGATAAAGAAAGAGTCCGGTCACACACTGTAACCACTTGGGATGTTATAAAGAAAGAGTCCGGTCACACACTGTAACCACGCGGGGCACGATACAGAAGGAGTCAGGTCACACACTGTAACCACCTAACTTTATTGAGCTTTAGAGACAAACACGGGGCACAGGGTCATATTTCTATCCTGGATGCTTTTCAACGGCACGAAACGATTCAGGTTGGGTGGTCTATTGGTATAAGTGTTCAATCAATGACACAATCTGAGATTGATCCCGACATAGCTAACATTGGATACAGCGGTAGACCTTACGCGATCACGCGCACATAAAAAAGGTCTGTTTGTTATTCCACCACTGAGAATGAGGCGACTTACTGGATCGGTTGATCAGGCTCGGCGACTTGGTGGATTGCGCGTCATCTACCCGACAGGTCATGGCTGATAATATCAACCACTGGATTGTCTGTTTCAGACTCGATTATTCACCAGCCGCCATCATACCGCAGAATGAGTGCGGCGTTAAACAACAAACAAGCAAACAAACAAACATTTAGGAGCGAAAGAGACAGACACACACACACACACCAGTGCCTTCGTTGATGCCGAGTGGGCGATACGGCTAACAAAGGGTGGTAACTCTTACAGGCGTGTGTCTCAGAATATGGTCAATCGAAAACACATTTCTCACTGCATTGATGCTGTTTTGCGCCTTCATCAATCTAACTTTCCAACACCGCTGAAAAGACTGTGGCCGTGAAATGGGTAGGTATACTTGACTTGTTTACTCAAGTGCGTATCCCATGTACTGACAATCTTCTGCTTTGTCTCTGGATATACGTACTCGAGCATTTGTGTTAGATTTTCGTGTTGAACCTAGGCATATAGCAGTGGTTTCAACGCTTTGTTAATGATATAGGGGCCTTTTTATGTGATATCTGGGGTTGCTACGACCGTTTTGTGACAAATACCTTCAATAGTATCCAGTGCCTGAAGTCATAACAATGCACTATAGAAAATGAAAAAGAATAAAATTTTCCCTTTTTTAAGAGTCATGATGTAACAAAGATCAGCGCTGGCCTCTAATTTATTCTTTATAATGCCTTTTAGAGGAGTTCCTAGGGCTGACAACTAGAGTTTACCCTTTTTTTTAACATTTTCATAATATGTTTTTATAACATCAAATCCAGCAGTAAGTCTAATTTGGGAGAAAATGGCATTTGGTAAACTTTCCATCTTTGGGCATAGATTTGTGTTGGTCGTAACACCGACATTTATCAAACATGATGCGTGGGTCATGATATTTAGCAGTGTTTTATATACAGTAATGTGTTCGGGGATTTAATTGTACAGGCCTATGTTTGAAAACTTGTTCACCCTGCCGTTCATCCTGACGTTCATCTTGACGTTCATCCTGACGTTCATCTTGACGTTCATCCCGACTTTCATCTTGACGTTCATCCTGACGTTATTCCTGACGTTCATCCTGACGTTCATGCCGACTTTCATCTTGACATTCATCCTGACGTTCATCTTGACGTTCATCCTAACGTTCATCTTGACGTTCATCCTAACGTTCATCTTGACGTTCATCCTGACGTTCATCTTGACGTTCATCCTGACGTTCATCTTGACGTTCATCCTAACGTTCATCTTGACGTTCATCTCGATGTTCATCCTGACGTTCATCTTGACGTTCATTCTAACGTTCATCCTGAAGTTCATCTTAACTTTCAACTTGACGTTCATCCTGCCTTTCATCTTGACGTTCATCTTACTGAATATTCGATTCTTGCTTCACTTGATCTATAGGCCCCCATCTCTTAATTATTACCCTCACGTAGCACCGGGGGCATGTTGACCCAAGTCGTCTATGGCGCCGTAATTCACCGTGTTGCAGAATCCTAAGCCCCTATATTCAAATCCTGCATTCACCTTGGTTTTGTTTCTAGGTTTGTCAGCACCATATTCACCAAAGTTGCAAACCGTCTAAGATCTGCATCACTTCGGGCGTTCCCCAACACCAAACTGACACGCCGTGATGTAACTGAAATCCTGCTCAGAGCGGCGTAAAACACAATTGACTCACTATCCCCAAAGAATACAGTTTATGGATCCTTTGATCATTCTGCCATTGATTCCCTTATGATTTCGAAGGATAAGGGTAAATCCAGACCTCCTAAACCCAAACCCATCCATGTTATAGCGATTCGTGTCTTAATGCTGTACATGTATGAAGTTGTAACAAAGCAATATAAACAGTATGCGCCTCTGAAAATATCTTCCTGGTCAGGGCAGTGAGTTTATGAGTATCTCCCGTAACGGCCCTAGTCCTCTAGAAGCGTTTATGTATCCGAGTGCTTGTGAACAGCGGGCACACTTCATTCCTTACAATCAACCGTGTATTCTGGAGATGACCGTTGAAACGAACTGAAATCTATCTGCGTCAGCAGCGAGTTTGGTTATTACGAACTTCAACAGCGTCTTTACAGGGCATATCTGTTGCGCACACATGCAGCGACATACAGTGGAAGGGATATTCATCGTTTCCACGATGCATGTGTTGGGCAGGAGGTTGTCTGACACGCGAAGGCTGGTCAAAAAGTTCTAAGCCTAACAAACAAAACCAACAATGTTGGTTGTTTTAAATTTTATTTTTCAACATAATCTCCCTGCTTTTTAATACACTTCTCATTGAGAAGTGAAGCTTTACAGTTCTTATCAGAAAGAGGTTTTCTGAAGCCACCCTGAAATACCAGTTCACAGCAGCTTTGAGGTCATCGTTGTCGTCGTAGCGTTTTCCACGAAGGTGTTCTTTGAGTTGAGGAAACAGGTGGAAAACACTTGTTGCCAGGTCTGGCGAGTATGGAGGGTGAGGGAGCTCCCCGAACCCACATTGTCGCACAACAGCCTTTGCAAGTCGAGAGGTGTGAGAAGAGGCATTGTCATGAAGGAGTAGAACTCCAGCAGTCTTTATTCCTCGCCGGTTTTCTTTGATCGAATCTCTCAGGCGATGAAGCAATTCAGCATAGTAGGCACCGGTAATCGTGTTTTGACTTTCTAGTAATCAACAAGGATCCTGCCTTTTGCATCCCAGAATACAGTTGCCATAACCTCCTTCAAGACTTGAACTTCTTTGGTGCCGGAGAACTGGAATGGTGCCAGCCTTAAACATAGCTGTCCAACGTTTAACTGTGGAATAGCTAGGACACTTATCCCGCATACAATTGTGACATGCGGTCATGGATTTCTTGGGGAGTACAGTTCTCTGAAGTAAAAATAACTTGATGATTGCTCAGTACTCAATACATTCTTTTCCATTTCTGTTTCCATTTGTCATCTTCACCTGGCTGTCACTAATACTAGTATACACACGGCCTCAACAGACCAAATGCACTTGCAATGAACTACTCAAACAATGTACTACATTGACTTGTTCACTTTGTTGTGGCTCATAGTAGAAAGTTAGTCAGGCTAAGGGCTTCGTTTTGACCAGCCCTCGTAACAGGCATGGATTGCGTACAGGGGACATTCTCTCGGTGATCAGGGGCCATTCTCTCAGTAATCCATCAATTATTTGCCTTTTACACCCAATGGTAGCCTTACTGTGCGGTCTCTGGTTTTCATGTGCAGTGGACATTTTAAGAAATGTTAATATGATATGAGTTTTTGTTTGTTAGTTGTTTAACGCCGCACTCAGCAATATTCCAGCTATGTGACGGTGGTCTGTAAATAATCGAGCCTGGGCGAGACAATCCAGTGATTGACATCATGAGCATTGATCTACATAGATCTAAAGTACCGTACACGATATTGAAGTAGACTATACTATACAGTATTACTACCCGTGAATATCGACATTGACGTTATATATTTATCATGCATGGCGCTAAACTACCTTAAACAGTAAATCGCTAATCTTCACCTTACATTTTTACATAATAATCCTTTCACTTGACTATAC